CAGTCAAGACACACAGTACAGAAAATTTCTCAAATTATATAAATTGTAAATAGTTCATCCTGCTCTGCATGTTTTGTGCTTTTAGCTGACTAGAAATTTGAGCAATTGCAAGTGAAAAAGATGGTGTAATCTCTCAACCAATGTGGAATATCCTACAGTGTAGTACTGCACTGAAAGCCAGTGGCAAGATATGAAAAACCACTGTCACAACTGAATTATTATTGAAATCATCTTTCAACTCATTGGATCCAGCCCTGCCTTGAAAGTCTTCAGGGATGGGGCATCTACCACCTCTCTGGGCAAGTTGGTCCATTGCCTCACCACCCTCAATGCAAAAGACTTTTTCCTTATATCTAACCTAAATCTACCGTCCTTGAACTTAAAACCATTTCCCCCTTGCTCTATCACAACATAAAATCATAGAATCATTGAGGTTGGAAAAGAGCTCTAAGATCATTCAGTTCAACCACCCACCTACCACCAGTATTTCCCACTAACCCCCACCCCCTTTCCCTCAGTACAGCATTTAAATGGTTCTTGAGCACCTCCAGGGACAGTGACTCCACCACCTCTCTGGGCAGCCTCTGGCCAGTGCCCGAACGCTCTTTCAGAGAAGTTTTTCCTAACATCCAACCTGAAATAGAGCCTGCTAAAAGAGTCTTCCCCCTTCTTTCCTGTAGCTCCCCTTTAGATACTGAAAGGCTGCTATCAGGTCAACTTGGAGTCTTCTCTAGGCTGAACAGCCTTAGTGGTCTCACAGAAGAAACATTCCATCTCTTGGATATTTCTGTGGCCCTCCTCTGAACATGCTCCAACAGGTCTATGTCTTCCCTGTACTATATGGATATGCACAATATGGATTTCTGACAAACTACACTTTTCAACACTTTTCATCACTTCACTCTCAGTATTCTCCATTTCAATCACTTACAACTCCACTTTTCTCTATTGAAGGGAAGCATTTCCCAACTTTTTTTTCACTTCTGGCTTGCCAAGATACAGAGAAATACATTTAGGGATAGCAAAGATCACACCTAATATCAAATATATAAATAATTTTAACAAAAATAAAATTACATCCCAATCATAACTTTATAGTTATTTTTGAGAAATATAAAAGTGTATGAAAGCAGGAAAATAAAAATGCACATAACTCAAAGGCATAAAAGAATATAAACCAAAATCTTTTTAAAAAATTTAACATATAAAAACAAATGTCCTATTTTACTTAACCTTTTGGTAAAAGTAAACTTTTTAAAATGAACTATGTATGAACTATGAACTATTCAATGTAAATCTTACTACAAAATTGCTTTAACATCCTTTTCTTAATTACACAGTACTTTTGCAATAGCAAATAGCTACTGGTAGGCATGGTAGCTTTGATATATCTGCCAAAGATAGTGGTGAAAAATGCACAGAACCTCTCCACAATAACTAAACCCTAGAAATAGTGAAATTTATTCATCCATGATTAAGAAGAAGAAAAAATAGGCTGCTCTGTGGGCAGTAACAGTTACTACTTTCTTTTTGTTTGCCCCACCTACAATTGCATCTTCTTGTTACAGTTGGTGCTTCTCTACAACTGCAACCTCCCCACTCAAGCTGGAAGAGAAGACCTACTCCTTCCCCTATTAGATTTTGCAAGAATGACACAAACTAACCTTTTTTACCATGGTAATACAAACACATCCTCTGAATTCAGGCAGCTTCAATAGCACACATAGGGCAGCAGCAAATGCAAGGCAGCCTGATTTGCCTTAGTTCACAATGGATCTGACTACAGACTATTGGTATCCTGGACTTGACCACTCCAATGTGTTTCTTTACAATAAAGTCGCACGTATCGTTTCTCCACTGCCTTCCTTTTCTGATCTAAACTCATTAAGACCCTTTTGTGCTCTTCTCCCATACTGTCCTGAGAAGCCAAGTTAATCTCAGATTGCTTTTTTCCATTCTTTACTCATTAAGTGCAGTAACAAGTTAGAGCAGGTCACTCTTCACAGGTCCCCTACTTATAGTGGCAGGGCAAGTGGAAGAAAAAAAAATGAAACAGGAGCAAAGCATGCTAGTGCCAGAGCATTCCAAGCTGATTAATCAGTCTCTTTCCCGGTGCCTGCCTGCTATCCATCCCACTCTTCTGCCTTAGATTTAAAACCAGTTTAAGACCACAGAATCACAGAATGGCCAGGGTTGGAAGGGATCTCAAGGACCATGAATCTCCAACCCCCTGCCACAGGCAGGGCCACCAACCTCCCTGTTTAATACTAGACCAGGCTGCCCAGGGCCCCATCAAACCTGGCCTTGAACACCTCTAGGGATGGGACATCCACAACCTCTCTGGGCAGCCTGTTCCTTACCCCTCTCATAGTAAAGAACCTCCCACTGACACCCAATTTATATCTTCTTCAACTTAAAACCACTGCATTATATTCATGCACGAGTGTATGACTACTGTCACTACTGCTCTCACATTAATGAGAAACAATCGTACTTCAGATACCTTCAGATTTGAACATCTCTCTTGTATAGTAACAAGTAGATTTTTGCTATCTTTTTAACTCACATCCTACCATTTGGTTGAAGTACAGAAGTAAATTGTAAAACTAATATCTAGTGCAACAGTAACACAAGTAACAGACTGCTGCTTCAGTCCTGTATTTGAGGTTCCCTTATGCATTAAATAGGGAAGAAAAAAAACAATTATGCAATCTTAAATTCTGATTTTTATACCCATGCAAGAAGCATGAAGAGTTGCTAAATGCTTCTTCCACTGAAGAAAATCAAACTTGGGCTGTATCTTCCACACAGTATGAGAGAACTGGCTGTACACCTCATGCTGAGCTGGTAGGAATTGTCTCATCCCCTGATTCCCCATCTGAACCTTAGCCTACATAATCAGAAGCCATACCTAATTTTGGGCTAATGGAAAAAGCATCAACAATGCCTAAATGTTCTACAATCTGTAAGGCAACAGTAGGGAGAAAAGCTGCTAGTAAATATATTAAGTTTTAACATCTGTAATATCAGATCAGCCTCTTCAGATGCCAACTACTCTATATATTAAGTAATGAACATCAACTCTGCATGTAAAGTCACACATCACATAGGTAGCATTTCTTAATGTAAAACAATAATCCATAAATCCACAACCTTCCACATCTGATGTACTACTGGTTAAGGAAATACTATCCAGCATAAAGCAACTTTATAAAGACAAGCTATCAGTATTCTTAGAACATACCCCTAAAGCAGAAAAAAGAAAGACCACAGCGTATGCCATCGTCCAAAACACAGAATTTGCTTGGTAAGTATTCCTACTTAAAGATTATCACCTAATGCTCCATAATACACAAAGCTTATAGGATTTGGGATAGGGCAGCCTGCCCTGCTGTCTTTTGTTGGCTGAGATCCTTAAGACTTCCACTGGTATTCCATCTTTTCTGTATATTATTTCTGAAGAAACCTGGCTCTCATTGTACATGTGTCAATATGCTCTTTTGAAGAACACTGTGCTGCACTGCACATTACTGCCCTAATAAATATAGGTTATTCTAAAATTAATGTCTCCTATATATTCCAATGGAGACTACAAATGGTATATAGAGCACAATAACACTATAGAGCAAATCTCAGCTACAAAAACTATTTTTCAATGCAGTCACCATCATTAGCTATGCATTTTGGCCAGTAATTAACAAGAGCCCGCATGATACGCTCATAAATATCTGCACGGCCATACAGAACGTGGCTTGTATTTCATGCTGATGTCACCACTGCTGAAATGCACTACCCAATGCCTCACTGCGCTCATATCCACTGTTTGGGTTCCATAAACATTCAGCAAATATCGATGAACATCAGTGGGTGCCATTTTTTCCACACGGAGGAATTCAGTTACGCTCCGTAGGTTCACACACACCTCCATGTCAGATACCAGTTTGTCAGACTGCCCCTGTGCTGCCATCTGTCACACGGCAACAAAATGCAATGGAATACTGGTAGGAAGGTTCAACTTCAACTGCCATGATGGTAACACCCACCAACAATGTTGCAGGCCAGCATAATAAAATATGTTACTTTTGGGCATTACTTTTGGAACAGCCCTTGTAAATAAATGTCTAAGCTGCCAGATGTCAAAAACCAGGTGTGAGGGCCATGGCAAAATAACGAGCGTTTATCTTTGCTTGCCTAACAGATATCCCATGCCCAATTTGCACTGAACTGGCCTTCCACCATTGAACCTTGAGTCCAACTCTGCTTTGCCCTGCCTTTTACACAGTGCTCTCACACAGCTTCCATGTCCCTGGGTGAAATCTGAAGCCACAGCAAACACAACAGCTAATGTCATTGGCCAATGCTAAATAGGAGGCATTACCTCCTTCAGAAGAACCTTTCTTCAGAACAGCCCTCATAAATCAATTAGAGTAATAATGCTAGGAACAGTGACTTATTTCTACCATTGCCAAATAATTATAATACAATTTCTCATATGATCTATTTCCCACCCTAAATGTGTGTTAATATCATAAATGAGGGAATTAAAAGCTGTCATCATTTCTACTTCATATATGCACAACTGAACACTAATTGTGCTGCATAAGTAACTACTTTGTGTATAACTCTACTAAAAAAGCTAAGCGATCTGAACTTGTGAAAATTTTAGTACTTTTCCAGAAGCCCATGTGTGAAAATGAGACCCCAACAATATTCACCTTTTTTTAATGCTACTCAAAACAGCTGAACTTTACATGGTTTCTTTACCCACCTCCTGAAACTTACTACGGCACTGCATGAAACAGTACTCAAAGCTGGCTCATACAGCATTACTCACAGAAGCATTACTCATTATGAATAAGGGACAAACAACTTGAACCTCACAAGCTAAAGAAGTGGTAGGAAAAGAAAAGTATTTGAAGATGTGAGGACGGGAAGCTGTGAAAAAGAACAGTAACTAATCTACAAAATAGGAATAGTTCTAAGGAAAAAAAAATACAGACCGAATTTTCCTCCTCTTCTTCTAGTTCTCTCTGCTGCTCCTCGTGTCTCTTTGCCTTTATCTCCATAGCTTCAGTGATAAGGTCCCTTAAAATTGAAACAGGCTTGGCATTCTTAATAAACGTATGCTAGGGAAAAAAAAAAATATTCAATGACAATTACAATAAATATGGTTCAGACATAACTGCAAGCATTATTCAGTACCGACGACTCCAGTGATAAATGGTACTTCACATCACACAGTAGTTCAAATCTAAAACATGGCAATTTTCAACTACTTCATAACTAAGATTTCACTTCTATTTACCCACTCTATGCTGGTATGGCACTATAATATAAGGACATGAAAATATTAGGAGCATCCAAACAAGGGCTACGAAAATGGGGAAGGATTTAGAAGGCGAGATGTACGAGGAGCGCTGAGGCCGCTGTGTTTGTGCAGCCCGGAGCAGAGGAGCTGAGGGGAGGCCCGATGGCGGCTGCAGCTCCTCACAGGGAGCGGAGGGGCAGCGCTGAGCTCTGCTCCGTGTGACAGCGACAGGGCCCGAGGGAACGGCATGGAGCTGCGTCAGGGAAGGGGCGGGTGGCGGTCAGGGACAGGGGCTGCAGCGGAGGGCGGCGGGCACGGAACGGGCTGCACGGGGCAGCGGGCACAGCCCCAAGCCGACAGAGTTCACAGAGGGTCTGGACAGCACTCTTGGACATGGGGTTGGAATTTTGGGTGATCCTGTGTGGAGCCAGAAGTTGGACTCAACGATTCTTCAGGGGACCTTTCCAGCTTATTCTGAATGACTATGATTTTTATTAGAAAAAAATAAACAAATGAAACAAAATAAAGCAGCAAGGCTTGGGAAATGTAACTACAAAACAAGTGCTTTATAGTTAAGGACATAATTGTCCCAAGGAAATGTGCATTAAGTAGTAAATAAATAGAGTGGTGATTGTCTGACATAGAAAAACAAACTTTTTCAGATATTCAGTTACAGTATTTAATTAATCTTAACAAGCTGACAGCATAAATTAGTGGCTATAAGCAGAGCAAGTATGGCTGTTGCTTACTTCAACAGAGCTGTACTTGAATATGTCATAAAACATTTCTCCATCTAGGAGGGTGAAATGTGGAACAAGCGAAAAAAAGAAAATACATTACTTTTAGCAGGAAAAATAATTTTAATTCAAAGCCATTTAAAGCCTTAGTTCCTCCTTGAAGACAACCTGTGGATGATACCATTTACATTCCTTTTACTCTCTAATAACCCCCTACTGTTATAAAAATTCTTGTCTTGCATTATCATATGAAAGTACAACTGAGGCAAAAATGTAGCTCTCAGCACTTCAGAAACATTATTACTGATTAAAATACTGTTCCATGAAGAACAAAATTGATAAATCCAACTGTTCTCCTCTGCCTATTACCTATCCTGTCCCTTGATATATGGATTCAATTACCCTTCTTTCCCCTGTTCCTCACAAGTGGTATTTTCATTCCCACTTGTACTCCTCCAGCGTACCTATGGCACCTCCTGCTCCACTACACATGTTCCAACTGGCAAAAAGGCAACACATACAACTAAAGGACGCAGTAGTTGGTCTTTTGGCCACACATAGGGAACATGTAACACTGAAGGTTTTTTGTTACTTGTATGCATTAATATAAGTCTCTTTTAACCAGATGCAGTTATTAGTTAGCATACAAATTTCTGATCTTGAAGGTCTCTAATGATACAGTCATCAAATTAAAACCCTGAATTTCAACTTTTACTTCCCTTCTATTTTACTTTCCATGAGAAGTAAAATAATTCATACCATTCAATATTAATTTTATAATTCATTATTGAAAACTATTTTGAAAGTTATTCTTGTTTTTTTGTAAATTTACAATGAGCATGCTCCTACCTTAAGACAGAATAAAGGTATCACAATTCTCTTAGAGCAAGAATTTCAGAAAATCAGATTCTTATGTAGATTGACAAAATGAAAATTAAGAACAATATTTACCAGTAGCAGTGAAAAGAATACAAGAATACCAAATTATCTAAAAGCGTACTTAAATTTTTGCTTCTTGTTAGCAAAGAATGCTTATTTCTGGGAAATTTTAGATTCCATTTCAATCATCAAGGAACCTACTACAGATTTTTTTTTTTTTTTTTTCTTTTTTACTGCCTTTCTTCTAGAACATAAAGGTAAACATGATTTCCTTTGGTTATTTGAAGGTTGACTACGACAGTATTGAAATGGATAACAAAACTAAAGGAGCAAATAAAACTAAAGGAGCATACTTTCTTCACGTTTTCCCTTTTTACTGTGCACCAAAACATGTAGTCCTCGTAAAATTTTGTTGGTTTCACAATACTACACCTTCCTTGACAGATCAGTCCCTCCTGTTTGGTTTTTGTAGTTCTTCAAAATTTCTCTGCTTTATTTGTATCTAAAGTACCAAAATATTAAATGGTTCTTAGTACCAAATGTTAAATTTCCAAGCAACATGCAGGTTAGTTCACTGAGTGACCTAAAGCCTGGTGCATCAGTTCACACTGCCAACCGTGGTTGTAATTTAGAAGTGCTCAGTTGGGGTAAAAGCCCAAGAACAGCCTCTTTATCCTGTCCATTCATATCAGATCCTTCTAGGACACAGAACAACCTGTCTTGTTTAATTTGGCATGACCAAAAGGGCAGACTAAGTATACTCCACGGGTGGTCCCTACCGAAGGGTTCCTTTATATAACACTGGCCTAAACACTATGAGCTACTGAAGGCCTCTAATTACCAAATAAGAACCCATTTTTAATACTAAGAACCAGCTCTAACCTTCAAAAGAGGAAATAATTGTTTAGAAATAACAAAGAAGGAACAAAACAGTGCTGGAGATACAGATGGTGATAGAGGAAAGAGCTCAAAATGGAAAAGAAATAAGGCAAGAGATGTGCTCTTAAATTTTCACAACCATTCTGGTTAGAGACTGGGTGAGAAAGCCATTTCCTCTGAAACTTGACTGACCTGCAGCAGCTGTGTTGCTGTAGCTCTTTGTTCAGGATTTTTCACTAAGCACTTCTTCACGAAATCTGTGAATTCATCAGACCAGAGCTCCGGCTTCCGAAAGGTTGGAGGGGGATTTGTAGGAATCATAAAAATAGCCTAGATAAAAAGAACAACAGAAAGTTCAAACAAAACACATCATCACAGCACTGAATTCAAGGAAATAAATAGCTTTATCCACCTTTCTTATCAAGTTAGGAATCTGGAAGACAAATTTTAAATAGGGTAGGATTTCCACTCAGACTGAGATTCAGGAAGTAAATCCATCTGCTACTAATGTAGCTACTTCCCATCAGATTTTCTCTATTTCAACTGTATCCCATTGAGCACATCACTCTCTACATTATCTATTACTGTTCATCAGTCTCAGGATATAATTTTTTCTTTCAGAAATTCTTGGTAATGGTACTGCTTCTTCAAACAGACCCAGAAAAGGCTCTATGAGAAGCTAAGTTCACCTTTTCATCTCTTAGCTGCATTTAGTCTTATAGGAGAGCTGCTCAGGAGAGTCGGTGAGTCTATTACTTGCTGCTGCATGCTTTATTCAGCTGTATTTTTGAAACTTGCTTTTCTTAATTTTTTTTTAAACAAATGATAAAAGAGCTAAAAGCTAAAAGATGACAAAACCAGTCAAGTATCTTGCCTATTAGTAAAAAGAATTCACTTAAAATTAGAAAGGAAGCATTTTACCTATATGTAAAAAAAATTCCAGGCTGTTGAGAACTATAAAGAGTTTCTTCCACTATGAAAAAGATTCATGCTACACTCAAAAAAAGTCCTACTTGAGGCTCTGTAAATTGCGCTATTTCTTCTACGCTTTTTACCAGACTTTCTAATTACAGATTTAAGAGGTAAGAAGCAAAGAAAGAAAGGAAAAAAAAAAAAAAAAAAGAAGAGAGAGAGAGAGAAGATAAGCAGTGTGATTCTGACAGACCACTGTAAAAGAACTGGTAATTTTGAACTTCCACACGTAATACCAAATGTATACAGCTTCACTTCTGAAGCAACAAACTATTTAAACGACCCAGATCTAGTGACAGAAAATATATTTCTCCTCCTTCCCCCCCTCCTCCAAAACTAGTTTAATTACAACCTCTGAACTGAAAAGAAGTGAACATTATGTAAGCTTGCAATCCTTCATTTGTTTCTCTCTACAAGCACAGACAGATTTACGTGCTCAGAAAAGGGGGAAGAAGGTGAAACATGCACACCATGCATGTTACTTAGCACAGTTGTGGTACTGGAAGCTTCAGACTGTGACTGAAGAACAGAGCAAAAGGGAGAAAAAACTTTCAAAGATTTTACCCATAACTTCTTGAGAAGCTCGACTGCCCTTCAAAGCCTGTTTAACTTGTACAAAATCCTCATTCTAAATTCTTTCCCATACGCTGAAGAGAAGCAAAAAACATTGCTGAATAATATAAGAACTATTTACTGCATTTTTAAAGAAAAAATATTTTAGTATCAGATACTTCATTTCAAATCTAATATCTACAGAGCTTATTTTACTATATAATGCTGTCTAATTCAAAAACTAGAGGATCTGCATTTTTTTTTAATAAACTAAGATGTATGTTATAACAGCTTTATTTTTCAAACTAATTTTTAATAATCAAACTAATGTATGATCTCAGATTGGAAAAGTAGTGCTCTATTACCTTGTAATTGTCCTTAATTACTTACTTGTGATATAAAATTGTCAGTACAGGTGAAGTGCTTCTGGTAAAGGAGTGGCTAACAAATTCAGCTGCTCCTGTCCTTGAAAGTAATGACCTATTTGAACTCTGAACTGATTTTAATCTTATCTTTAGCTACTCTTAACAGCTAGCTCTGCAGTAGCTATTGAAAGCACACAGCTATCACAGAAAACCAGTGACTTCTGTTTACATGGTATCAAAACATATACCTCCTATTTGACAATGAGCATTGACCTATGTCTCAGCATATAAGCAAAGCTTAGCTCCGGAATTCTACTGAGCTGCAGAGTTCTGGAAAAATTATTTCCTTCTGCAAACTGTTTTGATCAACTACACAGCAGTGAAAATCATAGCAAAGAACTGACATCTTTATAATTTACAAAGGACAGCAAGAAGAAAGATAGAAAACATGAATCATTCTTTTACAGCAGGCAATAAAAATCACAAAAGAAGATATTCAAGAGCTAGAGTCAAGATCCTAAGAACACATTTACACTTTGTACATTTGTCAAAAGTGACAATTTCAGAAACACATACATCTATTTAATGCATACACTACAGGTTTTTTTAAATCTTGGTATGTGACATGAGCTGTGATTATCTGAAAATAAAAACATGGATTACATTGCCATTTTTTTAATGCAAGGACTCATTTGGAAACTAATTCCTTCTTTCCAAATGTGTAGTCCAACTTGTTAATTATGCCACACACCTCCTAGTGTGAACCTTTCTTTTCCACCTGGAGCAGGCTGTCCAGAGAAGCTGTGGAGTATTCTCCTCTGGAGATATCCAAAACCCACCTGGATACCTTCCTGTGCAACTTCCTGTAGAGAAACTGCTTGGCAGGGGAGTTGGACTGGATGATCTCCAGAAATTCCTTCCAGCTCCTACAATTCTGTGATTCTGAGATCTCTCATCACTCCTTTTCCTTACTTAGCCTGAAATGCTGGAGGTTATATTCAAATCCACCTTGCCCCTTCACTTCCTAATTTTGGCTTGCACGCTTCCATGCAAAATGTTAAGCTCCCTTTCACCTTCAAAGGAAGTCCATGATTTAATTTCCAGCTTCTTCTGTTTCCTTCCAAGAAACTTGCAAAGCAACCACTAGAGAATTATAAACTTAGTTCCAGATCACCAGGAATAAAACCAGAATTCTTATCTAACAGGAATTTATTCATCATTTTTTCTTCCATTTATTACCAAATATATCTTTTCTATCTCAACAGAACTCAGTCATTTTAAAATAAATCTAAGGTATTTCAATTACTGTCTTTCATGGCTGCCAAGATAGGATGTTACTTACATTCTTCTTTCATCTCATCCTGTGTTTCCCCCACCTAATGTTGATGGTTTGGGTTTGATTTTTTTGTTTTGTTTTTGTTTGTTTATTAAAGAAAAAAAAGAAAACACACACCACAAACGCAGTATCAGCAAGCACTTAATATATGCTACCATCCACCTAACTGGATGGGCTAAGCTGGCAGTGCCAATCACAGGAAACATTCAGGGGAATTTTCTTCCACAGACAAGGCTCTGACTGATTAAAAAAGAGACAGTGTTAATTCTTCTCTTTCCCACCTTCAACATCACCTTCCACACTTCCCTGCGTATCTGAGACAGACTGGTACATCTTACTCAAGCAACACATCACACAACCAGCTGAGACATTAGATTGAATGACTCCCAATCTTCCATTTTAACCATTTAATCATCCCTTTATTCATAAATAAATGCCTAAGCTGTGAGATGTCAAAACTCAGGCCTGAGTGACCGTGACAACTTAATGAGTGTTTATCTTTGCCTGCCTAACAGACAAACCATGCCCAATTTGTCCTAAACTGGCCTTTCCACCTCTGAGCCTTGAGTCCAACTCTGCTTTGCCTCGCCTTTCACACAGCATTCTTAGACAACTTCCACAGCCCTGGGTGAAATCAGAAGCTACAGCAAATGTGCTATCTACACAAATAAAGAATGGGGAGTGGCATTGAAGGTGTTGTAGTAGCAAAAAAACCCCACAAATATAAAACACTATATAATCTAACAATTTCTACCATAACTGTTGACCAATCTACTCTGAAAGGATGTATCAGCACAATAAGCAGCTGCTGTAGTCAAGCTCAGTGTTGAACAGAGGACCAAGTCTCAAACTAGAGCAAAACAGCAATTCAGCACAGAATTTGCTTTTTATGATCCTTAAAGGGAACAAAATTTTGGGCCCTATAATGAAGCCCAGGCTGCAATCATTTCTTCCATGAAGAATCTCTCATGGACAATTTTTATTGGTGTGAAAATGCAATTAGATGAATTAGGAAATGCCAAAAGAAAAATGATATCCTCATATACTGCATTTGGAATTTCCTAATCAGAAAATCCTTGAGGCTCATTCCCTCCTGTCAGTCAGGGTAATACCACAGCCCAAGAACACATTAAGTAATCAACAGGAACTCAGTTGAGGTTCTACTCTTTTTTTTTTTTTTTTAAGCTCCATCACTTAGGTTAAGTAAGTGACTTGTAATGAAGTATTTTGATTTCCAGCTATTTAACCATTAGTTGTCATTTGTTCAGTATCATGGATGTAACTGAAGGATACAGCAAAGATTTTTCATTTCTGTGCTGTGAAGTAGCACAGCTAGACTCTGCAGAAAACAGACTCAAAAATATTTTTAAATCCGGCAGTATGAGTACAAAATACTATTTAAGACGCAGGATGGGGTAAGGTATTGAACACTGCAACATGTTATTGCTTTAGAAACAATGAATCAACTGAGAAAAAACATATCATTTTCTTCTGATTCATGTTAAAGAACTTGCTTCCCCTCTTGCAGAGCCTTCAATACAGCTATTGAAATATCACTTACTTATTTCTCACTGCCTAGGAATAAAACAACAGCATGGGGAAGGTCAACAAGACCAAGTGCCAGGTCCTGCACTTCGGTCACAACTACCGGCACTACACTACAGGCTTGGGGCAGAGTTGTTGAAAAGCTACATGGAGGAAAAGGATCCAGGAGTGTTAGCCAACACTGAGCTGAATATGAGTTAACAGTTTGCCCAGGTGGCCAAAAAAGGCCAGTGGCATCCTGCCTTGTATCAGAAATGGTGCAGCCAGCAGGAGCAGCAAGGTGACCGTCCCCCTGTACTTGGCACCAGTGAGGCTGCACCCTGAGGGCCGTGTTCAGCTTTGGGCCTTTCCTTACAAGGAAGACATTGAGGCCCTGGAGTGTGTCCAGAGAAGGGCAACGAAGCCATGAAGTTTCTAGAGCACAAATCTTATGGGTAGCAGCTGAGGGAATTAGGATTGTAGAAGAGGAGGCTTAGGGGAGACCCTACTGCTCTCTACAACTCCCTTACAGGAGGTTGTAGTGAGGTGGGAGTCAGCCTCTTCTTTAGGTAACCACAATA